CACCGAGAACTGGGGTTACTTTTTTTTTTTATTGCTCTCGCCAAACAATGGACCGGATGTGTTTGTGTGTTTGCTCCTGCCGAGAGTCGTCTGTTGGCCCGTTGGTCCGCAAAACCCGCTCGCAATAAGTGAATTGCGCAAATTTATAGCTGCGTAAATTGTTTAATGACTCAACAGTCTATTTATCCGGGCTATGGCATGCACCGACATGGCCTAATGGCTGTTAAAGTCTGCGCGTGTGTCTGTGTGTGGTGTGAACGGATTTCGCTTTTCAAGTGCAAGTGCAAGGACCTCGGAAAGTAAATAAAATTAGATGACGGCAATAGAAATGCTGCTGCGAGCACTTAATTGTTCTTAGTTCTATTTTAACATTCAATTGTGTCTGATTAGTAATATGAATAGCTGACTGCCTCGGATAAATTATCCAAAACTACAACTATATATGAACTAATTTCATTTTGAAAAATTGTATGAAACACTAGCAGCTTTTGGACATTAAAGGTAAATCAATCAGTTTATGTAAACTTCTCCCTCGCTTCTTGGTCACTAGAGCGCAGCGCAGACTGACCCTTTGATTTTTGATTTCGTTGTATATTTTTACCAGCTGTTGATGCTTAGAGTCGGTGCCTCGTATGAGAAGCGCAGAGGAGGGCAGTCTTTTTAATTTAATTCCTAACAATTATTATTTATTTAAAATTTATTTATTCTTTTGAACTTATTTTCCAACAAAAATTATTCATTTATTTGATTTAATGGGCTTTCTATGCTGATGTGGCTTCGCTTAGGTTCCTTTTATGAGAAGCGCAGAGGAGGGCAGCCTTTTGAATTTAATTTCCAACAATTATTATTTATTTACAATTTATTTATTATTTTGAGTTTAATTTCCAACAATTATTGTTTGCTTAATTATTTGATTTAATGGGCTTTCTATGCTGATGTTGCTTCGCTTAGATTCCTCTTATGAGAAGCGCAGAGGAGGGCAGCCTTTTGAATTTAATTTCCAACAATTATTATTTATTTACAATTTATTTATTATTTTGAATTTAATTTTCAACAATTATTTGTTTAATTATTTGATTTAATGGGCTTTCTATGCTGCTGTTGCTTCGCTTAGGTGCCTCGTATGAGAAGCGCAGAGGAGGGCAGTCTTTTGAATTTAATTTCCAACAATTAATATTTATTTAATTATTTGATTTTAAGGACTTCCCATTCTGATGTGGCGTCTCTTAGGTGCCTAAGTCAAAGAATTATAAAACAATAAACAAGAAAAGTCGTACTTGGAAAACAATCCTATTTTTCAAAAGCAAACATTTTTATATTACTTTAATTTTAACAATACAGGTTATTAGTTTCACAATTTTTGTATACTTTAAATATTTAAAAACTCTCAAGAACTGCAACTTAAAAACCTATTAGTGGAGTTCCTGTTTACCATTTTTGAGGGCAACAAACTTACCACTCTCTTTACATACCCGGCAATAGACAATGATAATTTTATTGCCAATTAAAGCAACAAACCGAACAAACTACACCAAAAACAAAACTATCATGCAATTAGAGCTCCATAAATCTTTGCAGTTGCAAACCAATGCCCTAAAACCCTTAAATTTGGTTAGAAAAGTGCCAAAATTATCGCAGCAATGGGTATAATATATTGCTTCTAAAAGAACTCTTTTAACCCATTAGAGGACCGGAAGATCGTTCAATTAGTGCTGTTGTTGGTCAGCGAATCCCAAGTGGGTCACTCGAGGACCACACGCGCTCGCAGTTGTTTGGCAACAAAGTGACATAAATCTTTGCGCGCTGCCAAAAACTCAACCGGAACGAAAGCAGTGACACAGCATGGTTTCGCAGGACACATGCGAATAGGTTTTCAAGATTTTCACTGCTTGAAAAGAGCAGTCATAACACATTGGACGAGGATGAGGACGACGCATGCATGCCAAGAGATTTATGGACGTAGGGCGCGCGTTCGATATTTGCGGACGTTGGTGGGTCGGGTGTATTATCTATTTGTAACATCTTCGATGGGCATCAATGCCGGATGCACAAAACGACAGGCGTTCGATTGAAATTAATTGAATTTGCGCCCAGCATTCAGTTTGGCTGCAACTTGACTTTGACGGTCCGTAGTTTCCTGTTTATGCTCGAGATGTTTTGCAGCATAAATTACGCATATGATACGTACTATACATGTACATATGTATATGTATGTATGGAACCCCAAAGTCGCAGTCGTCGTCGTTGTCGAAAAACAGGAACATTAAATTTATTTTTATTTCGTTTTGCTTTGTTACAACCCTAAGTTACAATAGCGCTTAGTCAAAGTCCCCCACCCTTTCAAGTACGCGCTATATGCGGTCCGTAGCGCTGTTCGCCAAAGTCATGAATTTTCTTTATTTTTATGATTTCTATTACATGTACAATGTACGAACATTTTTTTCGGCAAACATTCTAGTTCTTGTTTTTGGCACAAGCGATTGCTATCGGAGAGACATTAAATGGGGTTGGAATTCTCGCTTTGTACACTTGGCTGATTCTCTACAGCAGCAAGGAAAAGGCACAGATTCACTCCGGAAATGACGATCGTATGTCTACGACTTGCCGGAGCAGCAGGAAAGGCAGACAAATTTATCAAACTAGCCATGTGAGGGTGTACGCAGATATGCCCTTTCGACCATCAATCATGACATCTTGCTCGTATTGAAATTTAAATTTGCCTTAAGACCATGTGCGCCTTTAATTGCTGAACTATTTTTAAATATTCATCAATTTCAAATAATGCGCGCACTCCTTCTACGTTTAGAGTGGCCAGCACACGACAGCGATGATACAAACCGGCACTGCGCATGCCGCTGCGTATCGCAGACTATCGATAGCGGCGTCATCGCCTGAGCTCCCATCCCCATCATTTTGGTTTAGTTTTTTTTCTACGACGAATATTTGTAAAGTGTTGTTTTATGCAATTTTAATCAATTTCTCACTCGCCTTTTCGTATGATTCTGTAAGTTTTGGTTAATTCGAACATACAACTAATGTGTGTAATAGAAATAACGCGTGTGATTGATTTGTGAACTATAAAATAAAGCAAAAGTAAATTCAGCTGCTAAGAACATTGTTGTTGTAGTTAATGCTAGCGCTCCAATGGGCAGGCAAAAACAGCGGCAATAACGGCCACCCAACACCCACGCCCAGTTAGTCCAATGTTCGCATATTTGTTATGATGGTCACGCGAATTTTGACCCGATTCAGTGGCGCCGCTTGCCCATTTAATGCGTTTATATGGCCAGCTGGATTTGGATTCGTACTCGCACTTCAGCTATTGTGTCGCCCGCATGGCGCTAAATCTCGCTTTTCGCTTTAGAGTGTGTGTGTGTTATTGTTTGCCTGGGTGTGCTTTGCGTACATTTTATGCTAATTGAATGCAACTTTAATTTGTTACAATGTGCGAGTGCGAACTCTTAACACGCCCCTATGTGCGTGCGGCTATATATACATAAATGTGTGTGCGCTTGTCGTTATGTGGTTGCGTTGTAAAAATATGAAAAATATAATTCAATTAACGGCTTCGCGCCGCTGTGCCACATTGTATGTTGCCGCATTATCAATGGCAATGTACTGTTGTTGACTTCTTTATCGTCTGCTCAACCACTGTTCGACTTATTGGAAGGCGAGTCTGCACAATGGTCTGAATTCCACATTCTTGCATGTGGAGTGCCGATAAGATTACGAACAAAATTCTTACTTTTTCTACTACATGGGTATGTACTCGTATATATGTATGTATATAAAGACGGACGACAACTGATGGACAGGGTCCCATAAACAAGGTTCCAATTCCAGTTTGTTGCTGTGCCCGGCTTGTCAATTTGCGAATTGCTTTCAATTTGTACTGTACGTATGTACGTTCATATAATTAACTTAAATTTAACTCCAACCCTCAGTAGAATGGTCGAGGCAGCTGGGTTGCTGTGCATGGCAAAATCCTCAGCTCGTGCGCGCTCCCGCTGTTTTGAAGATTTCACTTTTTCAATTGTTTAAACTGTAGGCAGTCGCCGAGTTGCCGATGGTGCTGCTTTATTATATGCGTTTTGTCAGTCACTCAACAAATTGCCTAATGATTGTGTCAATAATTGGGCATAATTGAAAAAAGGGGCGTCTCATCGACTCATCTGCCAAGACCGTACCCCAGACGTGGCTCAGCGTCTTTATGTTTATTGTTTACTCATGTTAATGCAAAGTAGGAAACTCGTTTTGTTTTGTGCCTTCATTTGTTTACACACTTCTTTTATTTTCGACGATTTTTATGGAGTCTCATAGCCTTGCCTTTCAATTGTGACAAATTTTACGAGTACTCGTAACACTGTGCCTGTTAAAAAAAAGGTTTACGCAATACTATGTTCATAAAAAATTGAGCTATTACGGGAAGCCAGAGTTTTTCAAATTTACCTAAGAGTGACTAATGCCACTTCCACTTCCACTTTTTTGCTTCCTCTTTGTGAGTGCCTTCTTTTCTGCATGTGTAAACGTAAAAAAAAACAACTAATTTCAGGCACTAGTCAGCAAATTAGTCATCAACAGGCGGACGCAGATGCTTCTGTTGCTGTTATTGTTATGCACCCACTGGCATGGGTCCATCATGTTGCCTGTCTCCCCCCTTCGTACTCTCTCATTTACTCATCGGCACTACCGCAGTTTTTGTTTTGTTTACATTTTCTTGCCGCATTGATCGTGCGATGTGTGAGCGCCAAAGAGCACGCTGAGTGCCACTGGCAGGTGCTGCTCGCTCTCAGTGGAGCTTCTCGTTCCACTCTCAATCTTGGTTTCTCTCATCTTTTTAATAAACGGCCACTTGTACTCGGAGCGACGTTCTATAAGCCCCTCAGTTGAGTTTTATCCGTCGTCGGTGTGTGAGGCGCTGTAGGAATTCGCGCTTTGGCCAATATCGAAATCCATAAATATATATATTTATATATAGTATATACATACAAATATAGTTTATACATATACACACTCGTACTCACGTCGTGTATACATATCTGCGCAGCCGTGCGTTAGTGTGTGCAAAATTCAAGTTCAATTATTAAAAAGCAATAATAAAATTCAAAAGCTTAATGTGAAGCAGCGAAAAATAACGGAAAATATAGAAAAAGGTATACATGGCGCAGTTATCGTTGATATATTTCGGCTATATATATAGAACAGCGCTCGATATGAGCCAGTGGGTGTGATTGCGTACATGTGTGTGCGTATGTTTGTGCTATAATCTGTGACATATGGTGTTTTTTTTCCAGTAACGTTCTTCACCTATAAAAATCGCAAAAAACGTATTAAACATGTCGCATTAATAAGCGAATTTATTGTTTGTGTAATTAACAGTGATGTTGCTTTTTTTTATCAACAAACTTAGAGCGCGTGATATTTAAGTGTCTAGGGAGCTTTAACGGATCATTTGAGTATTTTCCTTTTGTTCTGCGCAGGCGTGTCGTTAACTGTAAAGTGTTTAACCTAAAAGCTTTCCTACTCCCAAATTTCAAAAATGTTGAAATGGTTGGATGCCTAAGGTTTCGATTAAAAAGTGTTCAAGTGTTTGCTTCGAATGCTATGAAAATTACCTCATCGCTTATGCTCGCTGCTGACGTCGTAGCCGCCCCTACCGCTGATTCCACAGCCGCCTGTCCCTGACTTTGTTTTATATTTCATTCTATATTTTTGTTGTCTATATATACATACGAGTATGTACATACATATAGCACGATGCTGCTGCTGCTACCGCTCGCTAGGCAGCTGCCTGCGATAGCATTATAAAAGTATCTCTCAGATACGTGCGCGCGCGATTTGTATATTTGTAAGTAGATTTATTGTTTTTTTTTTATACCCTCACTAAGGGTATCTGAAATTTGAACAGGTATTTGTTTCGTACACATTTTTTGGTTTTAGATATATGTATAAGGGGTTTGAAGAATAAGGACTTTCGTGATTTTAAGACCAGCTTATATCAAGAAATTAATTGATTGACAATAATTAGTTTTATACTCAATTTGACTATAAAAAATATATTTTGTAAATGTGTTTGAAAGTCTGAAATCAAGTCGACTGATATCATTGATACGGACGATTGGCTAAAAAACGGGGGTACTATGAACACGTTCCATGCTCTGTAGACCTACTTTATACATAAAATTCTTCTGTGGCTGTGAAAACACTTCTAAGAATTTCGAAATTTGTTCCCTCAAATGCTAGATTAGAGTATTTAAAGTTCAGTGCGGTTAATATAGCACGCTTTCTTGTTTTGTATTTTTGTTTCCTCTTCCATGTCTCTGTCTCTCGCATTTCGTTTTTCTGCACTGTGCTTATGTTTTTAGCCTTTTTTTGTTAGCATTTTATTTTCACGTTTCTCATTTTGGGGGTTTCAGTCATCTGCTTGGCCTAGCTGGTGTCATAATCCATTAGCTACAATACGAATAGAGTTTAGACGCTGATCGTGCCTGCTGTACTATTTTGTTTATTTCCAATTTCCTCACGTTTTTGTTGGCAAATTTTGCTCTGTTATTAATATTTTGACGCCGATTGTTGTTGTTGTTAGGTTTGTTGTAACTCTCTTGTTTTGTTGGGCTCATTTAGTGGGCGTATTTCTTATCCATTATTATCTGAAAAAAATGTCAATTTCCATTGTTGCTGCTGTTGTGGTTGGGTCCACAAAAAGCTTTTGACCTTATTAGCGTTTTGTTGTTTTTTTTCGCTTCGGTTTTTGAAATGCCACATAAACACGCTCCAAAAAAACAAAATGTACAAGAGCCAAGACTCATTTTCACTCAATACGCTGCTGAAAACAACAACAACTTGTCGCCAACGCTGGCGGCGTCATTGTGTGGGCAGACAGACCCACAAAACATGAACATGGACGTGGACGTTTGGCATCCGCTCGTGTGCGTACATTTGATTTCGATATGTGCATACATACGCCTATATATATGTACAAGTATGTATATATGTACTTACATATATTATAAGCGTGCACATACAATTTCATTCAGAAAATGACAAACTGATTTGTTAAAAGTCGGTCACTTGAAACGCCTGTGGGCGCCCATTTTGGCATGTTTCAATCGTTCGCGGTTGCATTTCTATATATACTATAGACTATACTATATAGTAGACCATTTAAGCATGTCTCTACACATATCTCTGTCTATATTGTCTGAGCGGCTTTGACGCTTGTCGGCGCGCTCTTTTTAAATGCTGGTTATACACTTTTCCCCTCGTTGCTTTTTTGTTTTTGCATATATTATTAATTGAGCTGTATTCATTTATTTGTGTTGCACTTGGTATGGGGGGGCGGGGGCGGGGACTAGGGACAGGGGTGTGTATCAGGTGTAGCCAATTCGAGCCTGTCCGTCTATCGGTTCGTGTTGAATGAGTTGTTGCCGCACAACTTTCGAATTGTTTACGCGGCTTTGATCGCCAACAAGATGTGTGTGTGTGTGTTGGAGATTTTGCATTATACTTGATGTGGTTTTAATTAATGACATTTGTTGGAAGCGTGAACAATTAATTATCAGTGAACGAGCAATTTTACAGTCATAATGAATGTCAATTGCATAATATGAATATCGAGGAACCAGTATGGATCAATATGGTCTGATTTTGTAGAACTACATGCCCGAAATTCTTTATAAATACTATTCTCGATTTATAGATACAATTTTTGAGGTTTCATTTTCGTTTACTGCTTACAATAATTATTTAATCAAGGCATTTTTGTTTATTCTTTGTCCTCACCGATATTATGAAATTATTTATTGGTAACCAAATCCTTTGAGGTTCGGAATTGAAATGCGAAATACTCAATACTCAGTTAAACTAAACCTTTGCATTGCAAACTCAAACACACACAAAAACACATACAATTATGGAAAATGAGAACCGAAACAAAAAACAAAGCTCGCAAATGTTTTCCTCATGTTACAAGCTCAATTAAAACAAATTAAGCGAGAAATTTAGCGTTTTTGTGCACACATATCAGAATTTAATGCTCCAATTGCACAACAACAACAATAACAACAGCAGCAGCAAAATCTACAATACAATAATAATAAAAATAGCAGCAATCGAAGTAATGCACAGTGGTACCAAAATATCTATAAAGTCAATAAAACGGGCGACCAGTTTATAAATTTCGCATATTTTAGATTGCATTGAAAAATTGTGGGAAACAAAAACGAGAAATTTGAATGGATAAATGCGGTTTAGAGGTCCAGAAACGAATTTTTACTGTATCTATACTATAACTTACAAACTAAAGCTACAGATTTCGATATCTAAAAAGGTCATTTTCTTCAAACATATTCTTTCTGAATTCACATGCTATTGTTTTCCATTTTGAATAGTTTTAAATTGCAGAATATAAAGTATAGAAAATATATAACAAGTAGAACAATTATTTTTAAAGAAAACATGTGAAAAATTAGGAAAATAGAAATTATAATTCAAGAAGTATTTCTTGCATTTGTTTTACAAATAACATAATCGTTTATGTATATTTATATATTTAAGCCTTAAGCTAAACGTGTGCTTTGTAAGACTATTTTGTATTTTATGCATTATTTAAACCATTTTATATTTAACTGAAATAGGTAACAACCTACAAGTATTTACTAGTATATACTTGTTTCCATTAAATAGTAATTTGTGATACTTTTTTTTTTGAGGAAGTTTATGGTCTGCAAATTTGTGGGTTTGAGAGGAAATGTATAGTGTTATTTTGGGGAGATATTCGCTATGTGCGGTTGCAAGTGTAGGGCATTCGATGTGTGTTTTTCGCCCAAAGTTTTACTGCTGAAATATTTTTTTTGAAGAATTAATCTTTAAAAACAAACCCTTTTCCATCGGTTCGCACATTCTAGGACCACTGTGAGGGGCAATAACAATTAAATGAAAACAAAAATAACAACTGTGTGTGCTCTATTTTTTTTAACGCCTCAGCATTTTGTGTGTGTACTGCTATTTTAGTACTTCACATACATATGTATGTACAAACATACAAGTATATGTACACTATATAGGCATGCAATTCATTGGCCATACATGTGAATTTTGTTCGGTTCTCTTTTGATATATAAGTACTATACATATGTGAGTATAAATGTATATGTTTGTATGTATATACATACAAGTACATATATGCGGTGTGTAGGTTTTTCTTAAACTGCTGCCGCCGCACACATGTTTTTGTTTCTTTGACTTTACAACAACAATAACAACTACAGCAACATTAAAACTTTGAAAAAACAAAAAAGCGTAGTACATAAATGCTAAATAAACCAAAAATACTAGTTTGGTAAGAGCAGCAACAACAATAACAACTACTATAACAACAAAGAGAAGCAAGCAATAGTGGGCCCGCTACATTGAGAATTCCATAGTAGTATGGCATAGTTCATTGCGTTGGAATGTTTCTTAATTACGCGGAACTCAAGTGGTGGTGGGAACTCTGTTCCCCATCAAGCGTATGGCCAAAATTTTGTGCCACTCGCCCGCTAGGCCTCAAGAATTTCGAGCACTTCCTTTCGAATGGCTCTTGGCAAATACTTTGAAACTTGTTCAATGCCCTCGGCTTAGCCATCTAAGAATTATACGAACGCACTGCATTATGAATGTCTGTTTACTAATAACTGATAAAAAGAAGAGTCGTATTGCTATATATAGAAAAAAATATTCCTGCCACAGAGGCAGAAACAATAAAGCGAGCCACATACATACAGTGGTTCGCCTTGTCTGATCAACGGCGCCATATTGAAACGCAAATGAATGGCAAAGATTTATGCAAAATTCTCATTTCTATACCCTATACGAATGATCTTATACTCTAGTAAATTATGTATATGGGAAAAAAGAGTGAGGTAGACACAATTTATAGTTTATAAAATAAAGTAATTAATTGGATTTAGAAATATTAAGATACGGTAAAACAGGAAAATACTTTGAACAGCATCTTGTTCCATTTAGCTTCCCCAATCACAATTATATATGAAAAGAAATTGTTACTCCGGTAGTTAATGGCCGTTCAAAAAAAAGTATATAATATAATATCTATTTTTTACGAGTGTATTCTTCGAACTATCTACGGTATAATACTTGTTTTTAGATGGCA